TTTGGTGTGGGGCTGGCAGTTCCTCAGAGTGGGGTTGTTCCTTCCCTCTGTGTTCCTGTTGTTTTCGGGTATACCCCTGCCTGGGTTCGGTTCCATGTTCCTTCGGGTTCGTCGGTCCCGTCGTTCATGGGGAAGTGTTTCACCACCTTTTCCTTACCCTTTTCGCTCTTATGTCGCGATGCTGTTCACAAAAAAAAAAAAAAAAAGTGTTCAGGTAAGGTACATCCATACAAGGTGTGTAACAAACATTGATGGATTTCTATCTTGGCCTAGTACGTAGGGCCTCGACCGTTTCGTATCATTGTACCTGCAAGTTCCTTGGTCAGGGGTGCTTGTCGGGGTTATAAATAAATAATAAAAATAAATGTTTATTTAGGTAAGGTACATACGTCCAAGAGATTTTACAAAGAATGATGGATTTATAGATAGGGCTAGTACATACAATGCCTATGGCCACTATTACGCAAAGTGTATCGGGCATTCGTTTTGGGCAAAGTGTTCTCGTTGGTTCACAAGTCTCTTCGTACCTTCCAATATTATTGGAACGTCTGTTTATTTTCGATGTGGTTTCCATCGGGTCTTTTGTCGGCCTTGTTGGTTCCCTTCCATCATCTGTTTTTTTTTTTTTTGCTTCGTTTTCGCCTTGTTTTGTTTTCGCGTCGTCTCTACTTCCAGTTTCGGTGTTTTTTGTCTTCATTCCGCACACTTTCCTGGTGTTTGTACGATGTCTGTACGTTGTGTGTACGATTTGTGTGTCTGCCTGGTGTACGAGCCACGCCTCCCGGTGGACGGGTGGTGCATTTTGTACCTCGTGTGCTGGGGCCGCGGTGTGCGTTTTGTTTACGGGCGGTATGCTCGTGTGTTCGCGCCGTTTCTTGTGGTTTTCTACGGCTTCTTGCTCGTTTCTCCCTCCGGTCGTGGCCCTCTGGATGCCGAGGGTGTTTTGGATTTATGTCTGGGGATGTCACTTTGTTCTCCCTTTGTCCTGCTTCGTCTTCTGCAGGGCGCGTACCTCTGGCCGTATTCTCCTTCAACCTCGCATTTTATTCAGGTAAGGGTACATACTCTGCCTACTGCCTCGAGTATGCATGGCTTTCGGGCACACCTTTAGCGCTGCTCCTAGTTTCTTACTTGACTCGCCTGTGTTGTGGCACGGTCGTGTGTCTGCTCTACAGGTGAGGTTGCCTTGTCTGGCGCTTCTGTCGGCCTAGTGCTGGTTCTCACTTTTGGTGGGGTGCTTGCCTAGTAGTGCTTGCGGGGTTGAGCTCTGGCTCTTTGGCCCCGCCTCTCCTGTCAATTGACGGTTGCGCAGTTTCCTGAGCCTTCTGGGCTCTGTCTTCTTGTTTGCTCCTGTGGGTGGCGTCTGCCTCCTCCCACATGGCATTTTGGTGCTTTTGGCTTCCTTTCCCTCTGCTATTACTCGGGTTCTTTTTAGTGTCTGTGGCTCCTTTGGGTGCTCACTACCTCCTGTGTCCTCTTGTGCGTACCTGCATATGGACATAAGTACAATGGCCCTGCGGAGGGCCTCTTGGCCCGTGCGAGGCAGCTACTGATTTAAATTAAATTTTGCTCCGAGTATACAACACTCCCCGATAGGAGGAATACCTGCTGGGTTGTTCATCCTGTCACTTGTACCCAGACACAGCTGGGATTTGCTTAACTGTCTCAAGTGCATAGCTCCTCAAACAAGAAGATTAACATACATTCCCACTCACTCACATGTCCAACCCGCCCTTGCACCAATAGTGGGTCCCCACCACCACGTTACGTGGTAATTGGTTCTGCACATCACCGGGCCTGTTACTGTGCCGCACGGGTGGCGTGTGCCACTATCCCAGTTTCTATTGTTTCGTGGAGATTGGTCAATTCACACAAACACTAAGGAACTACTTATCTTTTGTTGCATATACAGTAGTTGTGGGTGATCGTTGGCAGGCAATGGTGCGGGTTGGGCGCACTGAGTGTCGGTACGGTGTCTCGAATGTCTGTTCTAGACCACACTTGCCGGTAGGCTAGTTATTATTCGCTACTCTGCTGGTTATATGCTTGGGCGCCGCCTCAGTTCCCCACAGGTTGGCAGGACTTTTTGTTGGACGTACGGAACGGTTTGAGTTCCGTCGTTGGTACTTTGTAGAGCTTTGCTTCTCTCGTTAGGCTCATGCGTTTGGAGCGAGTATCTTGGGATACTCTACTCCTTCCACCACCCTTGTTCACTGTTCCATCCTTGTTTACTCTTCCCCGCTTGGCGGGATTGCGTCGATGGCTCCTGACTGGGGTGTTGAGTGTGGTGTTTGGTCACCTTGCGTGCGTCTTTAGTGCCTTTTGTCCATCTTTTGTTCTTTGTTGTCCTGTGGGGCTCTACCCCGCATTTCGGTGCTTTTGTTTTCATTGTAGACCCCTGGGTCTTTTTCCTGTCTGGACACTTTCCTTGCCTATCTTCAGTGCCTGACTGCACCCTCACATAGCCGAGGGAGAGATCTTCTCAAGAACCTCAAGATAACCCTGCTGTCCGTAAGGTCCCTCAGGTATGTACGCGCTCCTCTACACATTTTGTGGTGTGCATTACTTCCCGGCCGCTCCTTGGGCCGTATTTGTGGTTTTCCTTACCTAATTCAGTTTTTCCTCCCCCATGCTACACTTTTTTATGTATCTGAGTCAGTGCTTCTTGATTATCCTGTTTGGTGCTCCGGTGGACCTCTGTCCATGTTCCACGTCCTGCTTTTGAACTTCTCCAGTGTTCCATTTTGGTACCGAGTTCCTGCGATTTCTGTGTGGTTTTCTGCAGGCTTCGGGTTGCGCTGTCTGTGAGGAGGGGGGTGTGGACTTTTCGGTCTGCCGCTCCTGCCTTCCTGGTTCCTTTTCTTGGAACCGGGTTTGCTGGGTTCCGGTCCTGGTTTCAGGTTTTCTTTGTTCCTTTTCCGGGCCGGGTGTGTTGGTTTTCCTGCGGTTCTCGTCCTCGGTGGTTCTCCTCTTGGATGCCTCGGGGATGCGTGTATCATTCTTCCCTGCTGGAGCTGGTTCTGTTGCTCCTTTGGGTTGCGGGGTCGCTGTTTTTAGATTCGCGTTTTGCACTTTCGATCGTGGTGTTTGTTTCTCGTCGTTTGTGTCGGCACAGGTGGGTTCGTTATTGGTCTCCCACCTGCACGTTTCGTCTCGGGGGCGGTGTTTGGTTTTCCTATCGCTGCGAAGGGTCCTTCGGTCTTTGATAGGGTTGGTTTGTCTTCCCTTCGGGGTTGTTCTGGGACCGTTGTCTGGGATTGTCCTGTCACCTGTTGGGTGGTGCTGGCAGAGCCGCTCCTACTTACGTTCAGTGTTGCGGTTCCTTCTGCTCCATTCTACTTGCTGTCCTGGGCATCATTCCCCTCTGGCCTGGTCTTGAGTTTTGGGGCCGTCCTGGTCGTTGGCCTGGGTGGTCTTTTTCTTGTCATTTTGGTCTTTGTTTTGTCTCTGATTTTGGTTGTTCAGTTAGGACGTGTGGTATCCGCCTCCCGGTTTCTTCCCTGTTTTACTTATCTTTTGGTAAGGTAGCTCCGGGGAGCCAACGGGGCTCCCCCCAGAAAACCAGCGTTGAATGTAATGAAACGCCATTTTCTGGGTGAGTCCTGGAGGCTCCCCGGCATCCCTCCCTCCCTCCGGTCGGCGGCGTTTTCACGTATTTTGACATCCAGCCTAAGAACTGCCAATTGGATCGCCGGCGTGGAGGGTCTGGGGCTCCCCCTTCCCCCTCTCGGGGAGGGGGAGCCGGGTTGCGCAGACGGTGGCGCGGCGACGTGATGACGTCATGCTAGTTTGATAATTTTGTTTGGGGAGTTCTGTCCACTCGTTCAGCTTTCGGTAGCAATAATTTCACCAGAATAGGGGTTTGTTTTGGGGTGCCTACCTTTCTGGGTGCCTGTCCCAGCGATGGCAGACATAGAATGCTCCCAATCACAAGGGGGTTTCTATAGGCCATTGCTCCTCGTGCCTCTCTGAGGGGGCCAGGTTCTGGCTCGTGGTCCCCGGTAGGCAAGAACTCCTAGCACTTTGACTGATGCCAGAAAGATATACATATCCATTCAGCCTGGATAGCTCCTGGGAGCCTCCGTGACTCACCCAGAAAATGGCGTTTCATTACATTCAACGCTGGTTTTTTCCAATATTTTGACTGTGACACTTGTCATTGATACAGGTCTATGAATGAGGGGTATTCACTGCTGCCACTTTTGTAGATTGGAACTATGTTAGCCTGTTTCCACACATCTGCTACGACTCCTGTACATAGGGATGTCTGAAAAATCAGCCGAAGTGGTATGCTGAGCTCAACTGCACATTCTCTCAGAACCCATGGTGAAACTCCTCTCTATGTGCTCTATGTGCTCTATGTTGTTCTCTGGAATTCTTATCGTGTCTAGTTCCCTGAAGGTTACCTTGAGGTTACCTTGAGGTGCTTCCGAGGCTTGGCGTCCCTGCGGCCCGGTCGTCGACCAGGTTGCCGGACTGATCAACCAGGCTGTTGGACGCGGCTGCTCGCAGCCTGACGTATGAGTCACAACCTGGTTGAAGATCTCATTATGTTCACACACACTTTGGAACTTTTCGTTTAATGTTCCACACATTTTCTTTTCATTTACCGTGTATCTGGTGGAGAGCCCAGGTATTCCCTGAGGTCTTCAGTTGAAATTGGTTAGGCTCGGGGATTTTGAGGAGGTTCACATTGGGCTGTGGGTGCCCTTCACCCCTTTATGGTCTCTTATGCCTATTTCACCCCTTTTGGTTGTGTTCCTCAGTAGGCAAAACAGAATTCCTATAACTGATGTAACCCATAAGACACAGCAATCTCAGGATGATAGCTTCAGGGAACCACCAGACCTCTATCAGAAAGAGGTACTTCATTACTTTCAGTGTTGGATTTTTTGAATTTTAAATGTGAATTTCCATAATAGAGGGAGCTTTCTTCACTTTGTATCTTTAACATTGTTTACAATATGTTCTATTACATTGTTCAATCTTGTATTTTACAGAGCAAAAGTCTTAAGGACATATCTCCACACTCTACCACAAGCAGCAGCAGTGGAATTAGCAGCAGTAGTAGTAATGGCAGCAGCAGTCATTTTGGCTCGGTAAACAGTTCCAGTCTATCGACCAAGGACAAAGATAAACGGAACAGCTGGAATCCCTTCAAGAGATCAACATCAAGAGACAAACTAAAGTCCGATTCTCTTATTGACTGCAATGTTATTTTACGATAAATGGACTCATTGTTGAAGTCTGTTAATATTGCAATTTTAGTAACAAATCAAACATATTATCAGACCAGCAAAATCAGTATTAATGTTTTGCACAAGCATCTTCAGTTTCCACAGTGCAATGTTTGTTACAGCATACTGGGCAGTATATAGTGTACTGAGCAGTACGCAGTGCACCGAGTGGTATTGCATGGTACCGAGCGGTATCACAGTGTCAGGTTAGGTTATTGCTGCTTACTGGGCCATATTACAGTGCTCCGGGTGGTATCACAGTGTTCCAGGTAGCATCGTGGCATAAAAGGCAGTACAATGGTGTACCAGGCAGCATCACAGCGTATCGGGCAGTATCACAGTGCTCTGGGCAGTATCACAGTGCTCTGGGCAGTATCACAGTGCTCTGGGCAGTATCACTGTGCCCTGGGCAGTATCACTGTGCCCTGGGCAGTATCACTGTGCTCTGGGCAGTATCACTGTGCTCTGGGCAGTATCACTGTGCTCTGGGCAGTATCACTGTGCCCTGGGCAGTATCACTGTGCTCTGGGCAGTATCACTGTGCTCTGGGCAGTATCACTGTGCCCTGGGCAGTATCACTGTGCCCTGGGCAGTATCACTGTGCTCTGGGCAGTATCACTGTGCTCTGGGCAGTATCACTGTGCTCTGGGCAGTATCACTGTGCTCTGGGCAGTATCACTGTGCTCTGGGCAGTATCACTGTGCCCTGGGCAGTATCACAGGAACTAATGCCAAACTTGTATTATAATAATTTATGCTAAACCCTTATTTTCCACTTGTAGTATTGTTAAATCTTGGCAGTTTACGTTTTTCCATAAAGTGGCTGTGATAAGTATCCTAACCTCATTTATCATTAAATAGATTATTCATCGTTTGAGTAAATTATCCTAATGTTTTCAACTATACCTTATATGTTGAAACCTTAATTAAGTCAAATTAAACTTGACAGGTATACTATATAAATACAAATAAAACCAAATTTATTGAAATATAAATTTTTGTTGCAATTGTTACCATCAACGTAACAGTAGAATCAAGGCGATACATTAAATCTTTATTATCTTGAAGCCTTTGATTTCTAAAGTTACAATTTGTAATAGTTTAGAATGTTATTTTCCAAACTTAAAAGTAATTGATGGATGCTTCTAAGTACAATATACACAAGAAGTGAGGAATTAAGATAAAGGAAAACAAAACAAACAAATGGTCTATTATGAAGTTTGCAGTTTAAAATGTGTGATGGACCTTTGCTTTCAGTGTTAAAATAGTCCAATTTCAAAGAGGCTATCCAATCTAAATTATTTTTTTTTTAAAGTCTAACCAATCTACTGCAGTGGGAAGATCATGGTGAACATGTTTATGGATTTAGGCCAATTTTTTTTTTTTTTTCTTGAAAATCATTTAATCTCGAACAAATTTAGATCTTGTAAATACAGGTTTGGCTGGCATAAGTACAGTTGCATACAGTTTATGAAGGGTGATGTAGGGGGATGTTTATAACATTAAACACAGTTTGAAATTCAAATCATGAGTATTATATAGGAACTTGATCTAAACCAATAGTTGGTTTGAGTGATTTAGTGTAAAATTTTCTTGGTTGCCAACAGTTGTCATGGCAATGGTATCATGACATCTGTTGTCTCTCAATACTGTGGCTCTGAGCTTAACACATTGTATAGCCAGAAACTGACTTTACAGCATGTAAATTTATGAAGATTAACAGAACAATTATACTGCTCTATCAGATTTGTCTAGTGGAAACTTGAACAATATTTTAACTAAATGTTTAATTTTGTATTTGAAGCAGATCTTTGTGGTTTCTTTGATGTATTTGAATGTTTGGTAGTTAACTGTCAGAAATTGAGATGTATTAGAGAAGTAACAGTTGTCAAAGGGCATAGATATTTGAAGGTTCCCCAATGTCTGCATTCTTATTTTAATTTGACATACCATATATTTGTTGGAAAAGTTTGATTTTGTGTGTGTGGGAAGAAAGCACAATTAATTTTTATATGAAATTTCATATAATCGACCTCTGATGTCATTTGGGTTTAGATTGAGGAGAACTTGAACTTGTTCATTGGTGCACTGAGTTTAGCATTTTTTTACACAAGTAGTTTGAGAGATTTTGGGCAGATTGTGGGTTGGTCCTGATGCTTATTATGTCTAGACTGGGGAGTAAATCCCAGAGTCTTGAGGTACAGCCCTAATTGCTAATCTCTTGTTGTCACTCATTTTATTTTACCTGAATTTACCCGAGTCACTTAACACTAGTGGCCTCGACGAGGACAGGAAGCTGGCAGCTTGTCAAAGGTCCCATCCCCCCCCTCCAATTTGATATTATCATCATTTCCAGTTGGATTTTAAAATTATTGGTTTAATGATCAATAAAGTTATTATAATATATATCATGCATAAAATATGAGCCAGTTGTTATCTTCTTTGTAAGTTATCTTATTTGTTACAAGAAAGTGGCATTAAAACAATCAATATACTTTTTCTTTATATACATACACACGCACATGCACACACACAACCTAACTTAACCTGAAACCAGCAACTTGACGAACAAGAGGACACAGATTTAAGCTAAGGAAACAAAGGTGTCAAAAAAATATTAGAAAGTTTTTTTTTTGCAAACAGAGTGGTAGATGGTTGGAACAAGTTAAGTGAGGTGGTGGCAGTGGAGGCCAAAACTGTCAGTAGTTTGTGTTATATGACAGAGTGCTGGGAAGACGGGGCACCACGAACGTAGCTCTCATCCTGTAACTAAGGTAATTACCCTTAGGTAATTACACACACACTCACATTTTGTATTTGAAGGTTGATAACTAAATTCATTTGGGTATAGTTAAGCTTTACATAAATTCAGATTTTTATAAAATGTACTTTCATCTTGTCTTCTTCTGTAAATATGTTATTTACCACTTTTCTTTTACCCACTGTGTAACTATATTTTCCTCTGTAAATATTTTATTTACCACTTCTTTTACTCACAGCGTGACTGTCTTCCTCTGTAAATACGTTATTTACCACTTTTCTTTTACCCACTGTGTAACTGTATACTTGTATCTATCTGGTCATAGGTAATGTTTATAATAGTTTGTAAATATATGTAAATTGCTGTATATGCAAAATACTTTTACTGAATACATTTTATTGTTGAAAAATAGCAAACAAATATATATATTTTTAATTTTTGCATTTGTGAAATAAGGTAACAAATAATTTTTTAATCTAAAGTTCATTGAAGTACTCTGATACATAATTAATGCAAAAGTAATCTTTATATGTATGGCATGTAACTTGACTTGTACATAATAAAATTAAAGAAAATGCACTGCCTTTCATTAGTTAGAATAAATGTGCTATTTAATGTGCTGTTTTAACCCTTGACCTTTAAACTGCACAACACTGCATATGAAGTTTTGAGTAACCGACACAAAAGTGCGCATCACTGCATATGCAGTTTAGGTGTACTACGCAAGATTTAAACGGCCTGCGGATACATGGGATTCATATCACCTTCCTCAGGGCTCTTAATTGTAAACAGATGCCATTTTAAAAAAAAAAAATCGTGGGCATTATTCCCGGGTGTGAGAGCCTCGGTACTGAGTGAGCAACCATGGCTGGCGCACGCAGCATGAGCTCATCGAACTGCTGTTCAGCTTGTGACCACAGCATCGCCTAAAAGTGTCAAAAATGTATGTAACTGGTATTATTTAGCGATGATAGTGTTACAGAAGACCCCCTGACTATGATATAAATGACCAGGATTCTGATAATAGCAGGATTGTTGTGATAATTTGCATTGTGCTGTGGGAGGAGTAATGTTGAGGGTGGGAGGGCTGTAGCGTCATCTGCCGAATGTGTGGCCACCTGTTGCTGTCTGCACTTATTATACTAGCTTAGTGGTTCGCTGTGGTGAACAAAACATGCAGATACTTGCATATATATAATGTCTGTATATAGTGAATAAAAGCAAAAACAGTATGGTGGGAGGAGGATGTTGGCGAGGAAGGGAGTGGTGGCAAGTGGCTGGCTGGCTGGTGTGTGGTGGCCACTCCTTGTTGCTTTTTGACTCGTAATACCAACTTGGCAAGTGGCTGGTGTGTGGTGGCCACTTCTTGTTGCTTTTTGACTCGTAATACCAACTTAGTGGTTCGTTATGATGAACAAAACATGCAGATACTTACTTGAGTATATAGTGTAATAACTGCAAAACTGTTTTATGAACATAATTGAATCACTTATATGCACAACATAATTTTGAGAATAGCGATGATTCACACATTATATAAATATATCACTACACACTATTGAATAATATTACTGCAGAAAAACTTAAAAAAAATCAGACACATTGAAATAATTAGGTCATAATATCTTTGTGGCAACTTCCGCCTGACAGCTGGGGCGGAGCAGACCACCTCTGGCACCTGCTTTGTCAACGCTTTTTTTTTTTTTTTTTTTTTTTTTTCTTGGGGGAGCCCCTATGGCTCCCCGGAGCTATCCAGGCTGATAGGGATAGTACTGAGTTTTGGCATCAGTCGATGTAGGTGGGAGTTGTAGGCCTACCAGGGACCACGGCCAAAACCTGGCCCCCTCAGAGAAGCACGAGGAGCAATGGCCTATAGAAATGCACGTGGGATTTTGGAGCATTCTATATCTGCCATCGACTGGGACAGGCAACCAGAATGGTAAGCGCCTCAAAACAAACCCCTATTCTGGTAAAACCAACAAAAATAATGAAACAAATGGAGAGAACTTCCCCCAAGGGAAAACGAGCAAACTAACATGACGTCACCGAGCCGCGCTGCATGTCTGCGCAGCTCCCCCTTCCCGGGAGGGGAAAAAAGAAAGCCCCAGACGCATGCACCAGCGATCCACACCTTCAGTTCCTCGGCTGATGGGATAAGGCTTAGTCGTTGTGGCTCCAGCTCCGGATTCTCTTTGTGCTGTGCCTGGGTTCAGTACTTTTCTTCAGTGGTGTGCGAGCTGGGAGTACTCCAGGGTACTCTGGCTGCATGCGCTTACGGCTAACTTTCCTACGTGCCCTGTAAGTACCGCCCACGGGGGTTGGGGTTACCTTCCACAAGTCACCTTGGGTCTAGCTCTGTTGGTCTTTCGCTGCTTGGCAATTGACCGCCCCGAGTGTTTGGGGGATTCCTCCCTTGTTTGCCTTGGGGTACCTGGTTACCTGGTTGATGTTCTGGGAGTTGTTCTACTCCCCAAGCCCGGCCCGAGGCCAGACTTGACTTGAGAGTTTGGTCCACCAGGCTGTTGCTTGGAGCGGCTCACAGGCCCACATACCCACCACAGCCCGGTTGGTCCGGCACTCCTTGAAGGAAACAATCTAGTTTCCTCTTGAAGATGTCCACAGTTGTTCCTGTAATATTTCTGATGCTCGCTGGTAGGACATTGAACAACCGTGGACCTCTGATGTTCATAGAGTGTTCTCTGATTGTGCCCATGGCACCTCTGCTCTTCACTGGTTCTATTCTGCACTTTCTTCCATGTTCTTCTTCTGCACGTTGTTATTTTACTGTGCAAATTTGGGACCTGTTCCTCCAGTATTTTCCATGTGTATATTATTTGGTATCTCTCCCGTCTCCTTTCTAGTGAGTACATTTGGAGAGCTTTGAAACAATCCCAATAATTTAGGTGCTTTATCTCGTCTATGCGTGCCGTATATGTTCACTGTATTCCCTCAATTTCAGCAATCTCTCCTGCTCTGAAGGGGGAAGCGAGTACTGAGCAGTACTCAAGACGGGATAACACGGGTAAGTGGTAGCTTTTGCACTGGTAGGGGCGTGGGCATACTGCACAACTAGTTTTCACCTATAACAGAGGCTGGCTCTGTTACGACCCTGGGTTCTCCAGTGGAAACCAGAGGTCAAAATTGAGCTATTAAAATTTCTGGTAGTACAGTTGAGTGCATCTCGAGCGGCAATTGTTTGTATCTTCCCTGCCAGACGTAAGACTATTATTGTTTCTCAAAGAGCATTTAAAGACTGAGCTGGGGGTTGATTATTAAATAATAACATAGGCACCAACTTTGCTTACTAATACTTTCTAATCATTTGTAAAGTAACAATACGTTGCATAGGGGAAGATCTTTAATGTGCTTAGCTGCACGATCAATTAGGCTCCTTCCGGCACCACGACATGGGAGGCCTAGCTGGTCACTAGGAGGTTCTTCTCTGGCTGGCGTTCGTGTGGACGAGACCTACTCTGTGGCTGCACCCCTAATCTCCTCCCTTCTCCTCTTACTTATTTCCCTTACCTTAAGTTCCTGTACCATTAAGTTAAGTATTGTATGATTTCTAAGTGTACCTTCTCTGGTAGTAACGATTGGTGAGACCTGGGGGTAGTAGTTGCCAGTGTTTTGGGTAACCCTAAGTGT